GCCCAAAGGTTATAATAACATTTAATAATAACAATATGTAAACACGAAACGCGTATCGCTTAAGTTGTTGACAACCTAACCCATCTAGACTTCTAAAAATAATCGTTCGGCTTACAGAAAAAAAGAGCAGGAAGAGGAGACTTGCACAGCATGTAATATTATTAATATTACTATTTGTAACAACAGAACACGGTCACATTATTTTCGGCGATAACACAGTCAAGAGTTCACCGAAAAGTTATTATACGATAAGATTCGAACACGGCAGGGAATAATATCTTATACCGTTTTCTCAACGGTGCGTGTACTCCGCCTTTTTAGATTCAAAAGCGAAATTCGACAAACGATTTACTACGACCGGACGCAGATGTCCGACCTTTGAACGAACAAACCAAATTAAAAGGGTCTGTGCGTCCCCGTGGAAAAAATGATTTAAGATGATTTCAGGTAAAAACCGTGTGGTGTGTGTGTGTGTGGTCTCTAAACACGAGGACACTCGTTCATTATTATAGGAATAGTGTGTGTTCGTGTGTGTGCGCGAGAGAAAGAGTAGGAGGGAGGTGGTAGTAGACCTGCCGTCGCATATGTATTAGAATCGTTTTATAACCTCAAACAATCGAAATCCTCGTTGCTACACCATATACACTAGGCAAAACACATGGTTACAGTGTTACAGTGATATATTATTTACTTGATAAGGTGTATCGCGGGCAAAACGCGTTAAGGAAAACACAACGAGCGTTTTCGGACGCGTGCAAATCACCGGCGGACAGCAGTTTTCCTAACCTTGAAAAATCAGTCTGAACGCGCGCCAGCGTCCATAGGGAAACACACATGAAGACGGGTGCGTGCGTGCGAGTGCGTGCGCGCGGCCGCGCAGTAGCGAACAAAAGCGGCGGCGACCGGCTAGACAAGAACCGCTGCCGCGCGGACACCACACGGTCGACCACGCCGCCCCGCCGGTTGACATACACGTTTTTTTTTTTTTTTTCTTTCAAAACTCACCATGTCCGTGGTGCTCATGTCTTTCATGGTATTCGACGAGCACGTGTCGAGATGAAATTCTTCTGTTCGAGTATTTTAATAGTAAATTAGTATACTCCGAACGGGTTAAAATCCAATTGTTTCGTTACAAATTACACATCACACACACACACAACACAGAATCCAGCTGACCGATGGCTGTAACAATAACAAATCGAGTTATTGTTGTTATTATTATTATACACTATTTACAAGACGAATACGGAGAGAGCGGTTTTTCGCAACGATCGGCTTGTGCGGGCGCCCGGCCAATCGATAACAACAAACGAAAAACAATGTTATTATTGCAATAACACGGACGGGACGACACGTTTAACGAGCATGCCGACGCAACATTTCGCACGCGAACACGAACACACACTGACGCCCGATGGCCGACGGACCGGACGGACGCCGCCGCCGCCGCCGCCGTAGCGATGCGGCAACCGCTACGGCCGGCTCACTAGCGCTCCTCACGCCGGCACGCACCGCGCCGCGTTAACGCCGCCTAACTCTATTTATCTCAAGTAAAACCGAAATTAATTCTTAACGATGAAATTTAAAAAAAATATATTAGTTTTTGAACAAAAATATTGTTTTTATTTTCTAATACCTTTTACAGTGAATTAAATAAATACATGTTATCAACAAATTGTGTAAAAATTAAAATAATTATTAGCCTTTTTTACGGCTATATAATACGACATTTTTTTGTACACATTACTAAAGGTATTTTTGTGTGTCAACGTATTCTGACTTTTCCAAATGGTCAACGAAATATGTGAAATATATTATTTCTAATTTTTTTAGTTTTTATTTTTGACATAATATATTTTACAATCTGTACAGTGTAATAAGCACAACAAGAAAATTATTAAGCTATTTAAAAAAAAAAAAAAAAGAAAAACAGACAGTGAATAACATGAATAGGGAATCTCACAGTTCAGACTAGGAACAAGATGGAGAAAAAAAAACACTCATTTTAGTAGTTCTTTAGTTTTATAAAATTATCTTTTTGTTTGGCCCGGTTACAAACCCCATCGGACTTCATTAATCAAATATTAAAAGATACCAGCAGCAGTAAGTATTACGAAAAGGGAAAGCGGAGAAGCGTGAGTGAAAAATTGCTACCAACCAGTCGCCATTGGGCTGTTAACATAAAGAAAAAATGCCGCGGCTTAGTTTACGGTCTATAAATGTGATAATGTCTTTAAAAATTGATGTTTTAAAACTGAAAAATGCTCACGCCCTAACACGGTATTGTATACTACAAGAACCTTGTATAATATGATTATTATTATAGAAATCATGACTGTAGCCGTAGGTCGTACACTACCGGGTACGGAACGAATTTTGGGATGTTAAAGCGCAAGCGCGGTGACGACAGGGTAACAATAACAACAGGTAGCCGTCAACACGGTATGCGCCAGGTAAAACGGTGACCTTCTGACTTCGTCGAAGTCGAGACAGATCATCATCGATATTCATGTAATATAATTAATAATTATATACACTGAATATTCAACTACGTTTCACTAACAGTAAAAAAAAAAAACCGCGATTTATTGTTCCCCTGAGCCTAGCAAGTAATTGATATTTACGATTTACCCAAAAAATATGGGTTGTATTGTTTCGGGGCTTTACTATTTACTTAATTTTACTTTAAGATTCTATGAAATACTTATGGAACGTATCTATCATTGATAAATAATAAAATATTAAGCCATTAGTTAAAAAAGGTAAAGGTAAAAAAAAAAAAAGATGAGATCTATAAGCCAAATACAAAAAAACCTCACTAGTCGAAAACACGATAGTGCCGATTTTCGACAATTATTTTGAAAAAAACGAATCGAATACATTACACGCTGTGTGTAACTATACAGATGGTGCCGTCGAATATTATTCTTATGCAAAAGGATAAAATATAATAATGACATCATTGGATAAAAACAATACTATACAGTATACAGAAAAAAAACCGCACTTTTATACAGTAAATTACATTGTCACGACCATACGTAGTAACACAATATTTTTTTCAGCGAATTTTGTCTAGTGTTTCTCTAAAAACACTTACTATTTTATAGTACTTAGTACTCCAGCGGCTGCCGCTCAAAGCTAGATCAACTAGATTAAACAATGTATATAGTATACAATAGTATTGTACATATACAATGTACACAAAGATAAAACGCTACAGCTAAATTAGTCTAGATCTATCCACCGTATGAAATAAGACCTAATAGAGTACGACCAGAATGTCAAAATTGAATGCGAAACCTTGATTAAGTTCTAACATTATGTCTTCGAATCCCAAAAACCTTCATCCGAGTTGTTGTTATACTAAACAAACTTTTACAAATTAACATTTTTAATGTAATTTACGAATTGGTTTTTGACATTATCGTTAGGCACAGTGTTGGGCAAATTTTACAAGCTCTACACCGAGTTTTGAGCTCTTTGGTTCAAGTGCCCACTGTCCTCTAGCTTAGCTTACTTGGGTTATAACTTATAACCACATGCTAAGGTATACCGTATAACCACACACGACTTACAGGCGAGTACATGTTATATAGTCAAAATAAATAAATAGAATTCTAGTTCCTTGCAAACCGTATTTATACTTTAATATTATATTATAAATTATAATATTATTATTGAGGTTGCATCAGAATCGATAATGGCACAATATTCGTGTTTTTTAAACGCGCAAACAAAAAGAAAATACGCGATATTACTGTCGATGACGATCAAGAAACCGCTTTGTGAGCGGTTATTTTGTATAGAAAATAATAATAAAACGTACAAGCAATCGGCCAAGAGACAACATAAACGTTTCCACGAACCAAGTAAACGATCCAGACGGTCTTACTTAATCCAATTTCAAAACATTTCACGGTAGCCTAGACAGACTATTTATTTATGTTGTAAAAAATAAAGAGCGCTTTTCTTTTTAAAAAAAACTACATACGTTATATTACATTGTAATCAATTTTTTTTTTTCGTTGTGCCTTTGTTTTAAATTATGATTATTTTTATTTCATATTTTTAATCTTTAGCATTCATAAAATTATAACCCTCAATAACAGAATAAATGTCTAGTGAAAAGTCTTAAAATATTTCTGAGCTCCATGTTAATTTTTCACCCTAGATTGAATATTTTCCATTGAAATGGTTTTTTAAGAATGAAAATTAGACTGAATGTAATATAGGTAGATTCAGCGTGTACCTATTATATACAAGGTATCCCATGGAATTTGATCATTGTTAGGTTTGGTTCATGCCTATAGTAAAATCCTCGACTAACCCAGGCACGATTTATGCGCACCATAAATTTTTTTTTTGCGTTTTGCTTAAGTAAAACGTTTTTTTAACCAACACCGTACGTTACACGGATCCTTAAACCTTGAGTTGAACAAAATCACGTTTTCACTCGAGTCGAGTGGAACAGCAGTTTTATTGCGCGTTTGTTAAGTAGATAAATGTTGATCTGGCATTGTACCATGATTTTCTTTTTAAAAAAAAAAAAAAACACAAGCGACTCGACGATTTTGGCACACGTCTGTTTTTAACCTTACCTTTGGGTTAAGGTTGCGCCCGAGTTGAAGTTCGAAAATGATGGGAACGAAAAAAGAGAACAACATTCCAAAAATTACTACGGATAGGCCAAATATTATCATGTATTTTTAAATTAGCATGCTTTTTACACTATTGTCTATTTTAGACAGACGTGGTTTAATTAAATAAAAAAGCTACTAAATCCATAATTATTGCTTACCAAACAGAAATAAAAAATTATTAAAAAAAAATTGTAAACAATACACTGCGACCATTGCATATGCTGACCCATTGATATTAACGCACGGCTTGAGTAATATATCGTTAGTAAAATTGTTGGTGTGTTCGAAATACACAAATAATTCAATCTACTTATTTATCGGATCAATGCAATAATAATTATAATATATTGTACTCACTTCTCCATTTCGCATGTGCATGTCCATAACGTGTTGTTGTTGTTGTTGTGTTGACATGATTGCATGGGCTGCGTTATGGGCCATCGATGAACTTGCCATTTCCGCCAGGTGCTGTTGGTAAGGGTGCAAACCCGGTGGTGCTCCGTAAACGTATTGTTCAGGGCCGCCTTCTCCAGACTTGAAAATCATGAAAATATATAAGACAATGTGTTATAACATACAACCAGTCAGGTCAGGTTTACACGATATATTAAGTTCAACTAAAAAAAAAACAAAAACTGATGACAGCAGAGAAATAAACAACGACAGTAATTTGAGTTCACTACTCCGATCGTATTGTAAAAAAAAAACCTTTTAATATTTACTCTGCTACTATTGCAGGTATTTTACCTGACTGACCACAAATACACGGTAAATATTTTAACAGGTTGGATAAACAATATTGTAATTTGTTATACCGTCAGTGATTAAAAGGTTTTTTTATTTTAATTATTTTTTCTCTAAATACTATAAACAAAACAAATTTAAACAAAACCAAAAAATATATATACAAACAAGAAATAAGTTTGAATTTCTATTCTCTATTAACCGCTCGAAAAATTAACGAAATAGCAGAGCACATGAGTAGGTAAATCAAAGATAGGGTAAAAAAGTGCAAAAACAAATTAAAACAGACACACAAGTAAAAATCACACTCATGCTTTCTTCTTCATAACAATATTGTAATTGATTTTTTTTTTTCGCATTATATAATATTTGGTTTTCAACGCTTATTACTATAAACCTTGTAGTTGAAAAAAATTATTCTTATTTAGATTAAATTAACGAAAAAAAATAAATCAAAATGTATAAACATTTATTCTCTTTCTAACTATTAAAGAAATGGTGTCATGTACACATAACTATGCGTATAAGTTGACTATTTTTAGATAAATCTTTATTTTAACAAAAAAAGTTTGAACGTATATTTTAATATAATTTTGGCTGTTGAAGTTTATTTGGAAATTCGATCAAATATATTTGATTCTATAACCGTACTGTTCAGCTTCTAATAGAAATTAAAATATAATAAAATTCGTTTTTGGATCCCTATTTTTTATTTTAAAATCCCTAAAAATAGTGCATCATATTATTTGTAAGTCTATCCAACTTATGTGCAAAAAATATATTATTACGCATGCATAACTCAATTCTCGCCAAAAATATCAAAAAAAAAACCATTAAATTTAGCATATTATTATTTAAAAAAAAATGATTCCAAGAAACTACTATAAAAAGTATTAATTAAAAAAAACATCCAACTAGCTCTAAAGAAAAACCACTCTTAAAGCAATCTGTATCAACTCGTGTCCCTCACTTTAACTATAATCGGTTGTAACTGATATTGTATACCAGGCACTTCGGATAATTGGGGCGGAGGCTGTGACATTTTGGCAGAGAAATATTTCCATTTCTCCTGCATCTTTAACACAAACCACACAGACATTAACATCCATCAAAATTCAAAGATCAAATTTCTCTTTTTTATTGTGATTTCATCACCAAATTAATTACAACTAGTGGTGTGATGAACCCAAAAGTTTTCAGTTTAAACTGAAAACATTTAAAAATGTCTTTGAACTTCGAGTTCACATTTCGAACCAAACTGTAAAAAGAAAGTGTTTAACCCGAACCAAACTTAATAAAAAAAAAAAACCATTTAAGTTATGTAAAAATGAAATAAGCACTAGGTCTCATTAGCTTTTTTAGATTGGTCAAATTATTTTTAATACAAAAAATAGTAGTACTAGTAAGGAAATTGCCTGAAATGTAATATTTCATTTTTTATCAACACTACAGTGTTGCATAAAAATAATTTTTGTAAGAAGCTTAGGTAGGCTGGCATCACAATTTTATTTTGTTTAAATAGCAACCTTTTTTTGTTCTTTTAAAAATATTTAAGCTCATTTCAAAATGCATGTTCTTTTATGCGGTGTTTGTTGTTCTATGCAACTATTTTTTTTTTATTGTCATAAAACAAAATAAAAACATTTTAATTTTCAGTACCTATATCTCGGTACATTGGCTCAAGGGTCGTAAATTTATCTAATCAAACAAAGCACGATAGAATAATCAAAAATATATAGCAAAAGGTCCCTAGAATTTAATTTTTTTTTCTCAAAAAATGTAGTTTAGAATCAACATCATTAATACGTAATTTAGGAACTCTCATCCAGCTAATGATAATTTTGATAACCAGTAAAAACAACATTTTTTCTTTTACAACAAATTGCAACACAAGACCTAGTAATTCTATCTTAAAAATTTTTGCATTTTTTAAGGAAATGTGAATTCTAATACCATATATCGGGTTGATAATATTATTCCGAGTTCACTCATTGAACCTGGAAAACTTTCAGTGTTTAGTTTGGCTTAGTTAGATATCAAATGGTTCGTCACATCACCAATTATAACAGTGTTTAATATTACAATTTACTCACTTGCTCTAAAAAACAATCTTCTGCGTTCGAAGGCCATCGAGGTGGCTGATGTTTCGAAGGTATTGGACCGGACTGCATTCCATATTCTTGAGATTCACCTGTGGCACAGTCAAAAACGTAATTGACAATTGGTTCTTCGTGTACAACTTGCCGCATGACATTGTCGCCACTAGATTCATTTTCGATTATTTGCTGCTGGTGCTCCTATGAAAAAAAAAAATAATAAAGGTAAATTAGGTGTAAACGCCAAATACAGTACACAGCACTTGCTATATTATATTATAATATTATTTTTGTAAGCCCTTACTTGTAAATGATTATTACTGTTGTTCAACACGGTGTTGTTTGTGCTGGAAACAGGTACATTCCCTGCGCCTAACCACTTCATTTGAAATGTTGAAGAACAATCTAGAAAATATAATTTTTAATCAGCAAGTGGAATAAGGTAGATAAAAAATCTATTGGCCACAATAGATGAAAACAAACAACAGAAAATAATAATAATTAAGATTTATAAAAAAAAGGAAGTTCTATTAAAATAGTTTTAACCGAAAGTTTAGTACAAGAAAGCAGAAATTTTAAAAAGTTTTAAAGAATAATCATAATACATTTTTTTTTTTATATATATAATAAATGTTATGGATTATCAAATTGAATCTGAAATGAAACTATTTTTTAACTGAGAATAAAAAGCAAGAAATCCAAACGTGTCAAGTAAGTGTTTAGAATAGATACTTTTTTTTTTATTTAAATTTAATAAAATGTTAGCGCGAATGCTATTTTCCTGTTAAGATTATATAATAAAACCTTATTAGCTTTTTACATAATAGCTTTGTTTGAAATTAGGTCGATAGATAGACTGATTTCCTTTGTATATAAAACAGAAAAATATTGATTGTTATTATACAGCAAAATCTTTTTTAAAATGTTAATTTAAAAAAATGCTTTTAATGTGTTTTAAAGTTCTTTTAATCAAACTTAAAAAAACTGCTTTCGTTTAATTTTTTTAAGGCCTTTGATGGTTGTTGTTAATAGTACTTATTATTCAAGTCAAATACTATGTAATATGGTAAAATTAGCACATGTTCCTAAATTTTTAACACAGTATCTGTGTTACCGCTTGGAATTACGTAATAAAAAATGCTAAGGGTTGAAGACTCCAGATCTCCAAAAATCTCTGCCCCCCTTTGAGTAGTGGTTGGATGACGAAGGGCTTCTGAAAGGTATGTGGCCAAGTTTACAAACAAATTATCTCATAAAAAGAAATTCAAGATAATTAGTGATCTTTCATTACTATTAAAAACGAAAACTATTACATTATATGATGCATGAAAAATAATTCCTTATATAACCGATGAAGTGAATACAAATCTCGTGAAGAAAATTATTAATGTTCAACTTTTCAATAATAAAATTAAAAATAAGAATACTAGTACATATGTTGATACTTCCAACAAAGGAGGTCTTAATTAAATTTTTACAATATTTCATAGCAAAAATTAAATGTTTTTTTTTCAAGATCTAACATAACGTTAATGTAGGAGACACCAGATTATCAAAAGGCCTCAAAAAATGTTTGACAAGACCTGAAGATTTACTCTTTGTAGCCCATTTTAACTATAACTGTGTTTATTACAAGTTATTTTTAAATTGTAATTGGCTTTATGTTACACAAAAAAAAAAAACTACATATTTATCAAAAAAAACTACATATTTGATCGAAAACACTAAGTATGACAAATTTTATAAACCTTAAGTCGTAACAGGTTACTAGTAAAGTTTTTGTTGTAACAACACCTGGGGCCTGGATCCTAAATCCCGTCTGGAGCCCACCGTACAACGCACTCAAAATAGAGATGATAGACCTTTGTGAAACTTAAGAAACGCATCGTAAGAGCCTTGGGTTCATTAGTAAACCATATAGGCCCGACATCAGAGAGTAAACTCTAGTGTATTTATATAGGGGTTATAAGTAGAAAAAAAAACATGAAAGCTAAATTCAACAAAAAAAAACTCACACAATACGATAGCTGATCGTTCAGTGATCGCTTGCGGTCAAATTCGTCGAAAACTCTGTTCGGCGAACAGAGATTGCCGATGATATTTACACGTTTTTGAAAATGTACAATAGTTTGATCAAATTTTTTCAGTCGCGTATCGGTTGTTTTTATCGGTTTAATTCAACAATAATAATGATAATATTAAAAAAAAAAAAAACCGGCGAACATATAGACACACACAATTAATACCAATCGGCTAACAAACGGAACGGAACTTTACAAAATAATATTATAATACAACACTCACACAACAGAAACCTAGAGAAATAAATATAATATACGTATATATAATAGATATATATATATATATATATATATTATATGTATTATGTACAAGAGTATGATTTTGTTTTTTTATTGAGGTATTATTTACAAATTTCGCGGCCTCCTTTGGGAGGTTTTGTCTAACATTAAATTTACATTAGAATTTAGACGAGGACGGGCGACATTGGCGATTCCCTTTTTTTCTTATTTTTCTTTTTCTCTTTTTTATTTTATTTATTCTCCCATGTCGTTTCTCTCTCGCTCCTGCGCACAGTGCACACTGGCCGCCGCAGTTCGAGGTCTCCCGTCTCTCCGCTAGCCGCCACCACTATACCATCGGCGTCCGGCCGCGCGGCCAGAGATAAAACGGGCGGCGGCGGTGGCGGCGGCGCCCACCCGGCGGGCCGTCGGTGGGCGGTCCCACCGTATCACACACCACACGCTCGTTCATTGAACCGTCACATCGATGACAACAACTACGCCATTGTTCGGTCATCGGTGACCTCGACGTATATCAGCACGGGCGTCGGCACTGCGCCGTCAGCTGATGCCTGTGATAACTCGTGTAGGCCGCTGCTGCCGCCGTGGCTGTATTCTGTAAATAACACGGCGAAATTAGTATGACACAAATTTATGCAGAATCATAGTAAATAAACTCGGATACTAAGAAATTCCATAATAGTAAATAGGGTATGGTCAGTGATGTATTCTAACAAAAGTTCATCTATACATTTAAACAAACACACTGGTAAAATATTCGCCTAGTCGCTCACGACGGACAGTGTGTAAAGAATACCACACTGGCGCACATATACGTCATGGACAGAATGCCAAGTAGTTTTACTTTCGTGAATAACACTCGCTTTCGTTTATCACACTCTATGAATAGGTAATAAATCTATTGATGCGACATTCGTCAAAATTAAAGAAACCCGACAGTTCATCTAATAGTCCTACACCTATGTTCCAGCAGTGCGAAAACCTCAGGATGAGCCAGTGCAAATTTTTGTAATTCAGAGTAAAATTCAAAGAGAGTGGTTTTCTATAGATAACAAACACGCGAGCACACGCCATCTTCCAGAATTGTATAAAAGACAAAACCCTAATTCGGTGCGTTATTCTGTTTTGCCAAGTTGAAAACCAATCGTTTTTTGGCGCGTTATTCTTCATTCGTACACATTTTCATTGCCGTACAGACCACAGATTAAATAAAACGGAAAATTAAAATATGGTTAATTTATTCTGTGTATAGACCACGGCCGTCCCACCTACGTTTAAAGATAAATGATAATTATCTTAAAATAATGTCATGGTCCCCCGTCCGACCGCGATGAAAACGGACCGTGTTCATAGAATATAATAACAGATTATTATCTATGACCGCGTTCCGTCGTCGCGGTGATAACAATATTGTTACCGGTATTCTGGTCGTTCGTCTGCACCATCCGCGGTTACCGACAGTGTTCTTCTTCTTATCACAGTCGCATGTGGTAGCTCGTGAACTTGTTAATCGGCATTCGTCAATTGCAATTTGCGTTCAAGATTCTACGTGCGTTTCTACTATCTCGGTAGATTTTCCACGAATCTGTTGTTATTTTGCGAACCTCAACGTCGGTTACTTCAAAAATCTGTTCTCGTTTTCGCCTAAAAAACTCATAATATTTACTAAGTGCCCATAAAAAAATCAATAGAAAAAAACCACATGAATACAATACTTATACACGAACGGCTGTGGTGATTATTCGGTCGACTTCCATTCACTGCGGATTCTGTAATTTATACTCAGGTTAGTCTTTATTTTTGTTAATTATATTTAACCAAACGTCTACAATGTCGATGTTTATATTTTGGGCTTTAATGCACTTTACCACCCCACGCCCACGCCCAGCGACGCACGTCTACCCGCGGCCGCCGTGTACATCATTCTGTAGGGAGTTGCTTTATTTAATTACGAGTTTTTTTAATTAAAACTATATTGACGAAATCGATTTCGATGCTGGAAAAATACTTTCTTCATTTCGAATAACGTATTACAATGAAATTCCTTATTACAATATTATTTAACTAAAGACATTTTAGAATAATACAATATATAACACAAATTTACCCCTCCACCTCTTCCAAAAAAGAGTGTCCAATATAGTAATTTGTTATGAAAAATTACCTCCAAATAAAACCATAATTAGTAGAACGAACGCCCGCTATGTCGAGAGCGGCGATCGTCGAATGATGTACCAGGCGGCCGCGGGTAGACATGTGGCGCTGGGCACGCACGTATGTCGTCGATATTGGCGATCTTTAAACGTCTGTAACTTCATAACTAAGCGTTTCCGCAAATTTTTTTTTGCACCATCGTTTTCAGAATTGAAAACGAATCGATTGAATAAAAAAAACGAAATTCGGGTGTGGGGTGATAAAGTGCATTTGTTCCAAATTTTGTTAGATACTTACAACTTTCAATAATATAACATTAGATTTTTTACTTTAGAGAGCAGAACTTTTTTTTCTTCAGTTAGTCGTTTAAATTACATAAGAAGTGGTCAGATTCAAAATGGTTTAAGTACTTTTGGCAGCAGTGTGCAACGCCTGTTGTCAAGAGTGGCCTTGTTTATTAGGTAGATATTGTTTAATGAAAAGGAGCAGTTTCCCTCTCTGTGATACATTTTTTTAGGAAACCTCTTCCTTAGACGCAGGAATGAGCCGCTTATACTTTATTCCAAACAGAAAAGGTCTTCCTGATAAAATATATTGTACAATAATAAACTTATCAAAAAAAAATTATACTTATACCATTTTAGTTCTCATCAGTTAATAAATACCTAAATTTAATATCAAATTGTAATTACCGATTGTTGACTAAAATGTTTTTTCTCTTACTTAACCATATTCTTCTTACTGTTCTTGAGATCAACCTGAGTGGTTGTAATTTATATTTTTCTCTGTACCTCTTAATATCCACATTCTTTTGTTTGTCAGTAATACACCTATATTGCAAGCATTTAAAACATAAATTATGATTATTATGTGATTAAATAGCTGTTGAATTAGGTGTAGCTAGTATTTTCAAAGTATAAATGTTTACCGGGAACAAGTGTAACTGGCGGACTAACACTAAACAACAACTATCTTATCATTTATTTGCGTCACAAGAATTTGTCAAATTATCCAGACAATAGAAAAATTCTATCTAATACAAACGCATGTAAATTTCTAGGGATTTTAGCGTTTGGAATAATTTCATTAGCTCGCTTTTTTTTCATAAGTAGCCTGACATATACTATTACAAATTATTTAATTCCTTACTAATATTTTCTATATTAAATCCCTGTATCCATTAGTTCCCTTTTTGACGCTACACTTATGTCTTATGACACATTTTTAACTTCAATGTTTACTTATACTCTAGTGTTTTCCGTTAAGTCTTAATGACAGTCTCAAAGTTTCTTAATTATAATTGTTAATGTTCCAACAAGAGTAAATTTTTTATGACAATATATATAAATACATATTGTTATTTAATTTTATCAACCTGTTCGATTAGTTTATTTGTATGAATTAATTAATTTGAAAAAAAAATACTAAACTAGGTTGTCTGATATAACCAGCCCAAATACTGATAATTTCATTTCTAACTAAATCTTACTCGCACTTTCATGCGAATAATGTTTTTGATGTAATCTTTTACATTTTCCATGATATATTAGTACATTTAATATACAAAAATTGATGATTTTAGCCAATGCTAAATAAATGAAATTTGGATAAACCCTACGTAGACTAAACTTTAGTTGTTTTTGTATGAGGCCAAATTTAATACATATTAATGTAGTTAAAAATATTGTTTTGTTTTTCAGTTAATCAATTTGTGTATGGAAAATTAATATACTTTAAAAACAATTTTAACTAATTGTAAAACTGAGAGATAAACTATTTGATAAATAGTTAAAATATCTAGACTATAATTGGATGGATGTATACTTAATGAACTTAATGAAAAATTACAATTTTAGTAAGTTATTATTTTACAGTCTGTTCGTTAAATATCTATTTAGTATGGTTTAACCTGATTAAGGTATTTTTACCTCTGTAATTTCACTTCAATTGAAAATTATATTACTGCTCAATTTACTTTAATAATAATAACAATCTTTATTTATAATGATTATAAAAAATGACTATGTTTTTCTTTGTCAAAGGGTTCTTTTCAGGACCAAAAACAGTTCTTTTCAGAACTAAAAACATTGAAAACACTCGTTAAATGGAACAACTTTTTTCTTTTTCTTTAATGTTTTTTTCTATGTGGTTTAATCATAATTTTTCCTTTAAATTTACCTCAGAGGCCTTGGTTCATTAGTTGTATATTGGAAGAAAATAAAAAATACATGCATCTAAAAACGTCACTTATGCAACCCAATTTATTATAATTTATAACACCTGACTTCTACTGTGTATAATTTTTTATGTTAAATTTTAACTACCGGTTTATACATTTTATAAGTTATTAGTAAAAGTTATTCCATTTAATAAGTTTTCCAACTCAGCAAATTTATAGTTTGAATGGTGTTATGCAAAAAATAAACTATTACACTCGTGTTTTAAAAGTTTAATATTTACAAATGGTTTTCGCCGACATTTATTCAAAGGGAAAACCCTCGAAAACCAAAATGCTGGCGTATGAGTTATTGGTGTTATAGAAAATTAAAAAAACTTAAAACATCTCCATCGATTTTTAAATTTGGTTACTATAACCGAGTAGAAATGATTTATTGTAATAAATATTTTTAGCTATGTTATGAATTTCTAAATATGAATTTTATTTTTTAATCTACATATTTAACAAAGGTTTATGAAACTAAGTTTACCATGCCAAAATCTGTGAAACTCTGTCCACACTACCGATCGTATGTGAAAAAACAAACCGTTGGCAGGTTCATTTGCCTATGCTCTTGTAGCGATTTTGTGTGAACGTACTTTCGCTTTGATGGTTAACATTCGGCCTATAGTGTGGACGGTTTTTAATGGACACATGAAGCGACACCTTATAACACCAACGATAATTCAAAGTGCCAAATATGGACTACTGAAATCTTATTTGTTACTGTTTTAGAGTGGTTAGTTTTTTGCATAATGCTGTTCTTTTATATAAACATCAGGAAACAATTTTAGGGATGGAAGCTAGTTGCATTGAAGATTATTTGGTTATAAGCGACATTTTTCATAGTTTCTGTGAAACAAAAATATATTTCATTTAATGTTATTATATTATATTAACATTATGAATATTATAGGTACAAAAAACTTAACAGAAGTTAAATTTTTTATTTTATTAAACCTAATAATTAAAGTATTTTTTTTTTCTTTCTTCATGTCTGATAAGTGTTTAAAATTAAATTTCACGCTTATACCATGTAAACTTTTAATCATTAATCATAAGGTATAATGTAACTGGTTCCGTGCAATTTGTTTTTTCATAAATTTTATTTATGCTCAAAACAGCACGTCCATCCTTGAAATTTAACGGTAAGTATAATTTCATAGCACTGGTCAACAATGGTTTTGTCATGGAATTGAATAGTAACGATACATTGAAATTATTTTTTTTCACCCATTTTATATCTTGATTTTTAAAGATATTGACATGTCAATTTTTTTACTAAATGCTATTTAAATTAGGACGAGTGAATCTGCAATGATTGCTTTTTTCAATAAAATCTACTACTAGAATAAAAACTGACCATTTAAGTTATTTCATAAGTGTTATAAATATTAAATACATGTTATTGAAACATATTAAGAATTGGTATTATAATTCCATGACAGAACTTAATAATTGATTAAAAATATTCTTGTGTTATTTTATTTTTATTTCTTTGTCAATTTATACAGTAGAAATTATATAACTATGAAACTACAGCCTTCCTGCTGCTTTGATATCATTAAAAACAATTTCCATTCTATACTAAGTATAATTTTATTTTCATCATTTTTCAGTGATAGTTTTTAGAGTGAAATTCGTGAGATAAGAATATGGCAAGAACTGCGACAAAAAAGAAATCTCCCAAGAAAAAGCCAAAGAGCAACCAAAACATTAGGCCAAAACGTATTACGCGTTCGGCTGCACGTTCCGAAGCTGCTAATACGCTCACCAAGCTTATTGCTTTAAACAATTTGCCTAAAATCAGCTTAGAGACTATAAATCAACCAGGCATGACATCGCATTCCAATTCTTCCAACCACGTCGATCCTAAAAATTTCTATTTTACGACAAAAAAAGAAGATTTTCCTAATAATACATTGTCATATTCTAGAGGTACTAGTAGTTTTTCCGATAACGAAATAATAGAAATTCCAGACGAATCGTTTCCCGAGAGGGCTGATCAAAATGCCACAAAAAAAAATACAACTTCTTCAAACTTACTCGGTTCCCCAGTTGATGACATTGAAGTAATCGAGATTCTCGACACTCAAGTTTTTTCAAACAAACCAATCGAGGTGATCGTCTTAAGTGACACTAGCGATGAGGAATGCACTTCAGATGCAACGCCGATAGCTCAACAACCTCGACTTCGAGAAATCGAAAAACCACCAATTACCAGACGACCGATACATGAACGACTCGGTTCTCTAATTAATCCTAGTAAACCAATTATAAAACCCTACCAGAGTCCTTTGCGTCATATTAAGAAGCCAATAGGAGGAAATAACGATCGGTCAGCAATTTTTTTGTCCGACAATAACATTGCAGTTAACGACCCAAGTGGAAACCATACAAAACTACAATCGCAGTGGCAACCACTCTTACCTCAAGTGAACACCGTATCTACCTCCAACAGGAAACTTCGACCAATAATTATTGACGGCCTAAACATTGGATTTTCGTAATTAAATATTTCCTTCACATAATACATTATTTATTGCGTAAAAATTGATTACCTATTTTAAACTGTGCTTTTGTTTTGAACTATTTGTCTTGTGGTATCCAATTGTTATATGTTTTTATAAAAATTTAGACATGGATCTGGAGTGTTTTCGGCAAAAGGCATCGACTTGTGTGTGTCATTTTTTGTCGAACGGAAACATAAAGATATTACGGTGTTCATACCACAACATCGACAAGGAGCGCTCGGAACAGAAACACATACTATTCTGACTGCGTTACACAAACGAGGATTCATTTGCTTTACCCCGAGCCGAAAAGTCGACAATGTCCGTATGACGTGTTACGATGACCGGTAACCACAGTTTAATCTGTTACTATTGCAATCCTTTAAGATATTTATAACTGTTATAAGTTTTATAAAAAAAATTAACTTTATGAAAGATTTTTAATATTTTAAATTAACTTTTGTTTGCAAGAAATGGCCAATTAATATTGTTTTGTAAAATATTAACGTTACTCATTCTTTTTTTCTAGGATCATGCTTAAATACGCTTTCGACGTTGGGGGTGTAGTGGTTTCGAATGACAACTACAGAGATTTGTATAACGAAGGTCAAGAGTTCAAAGAAATTATAGAACACAGGTAAAATAAACATGATCTCGTGGGTTTTCTGGATAACCGATATTAGGACGAATTTCAGTAAATTATTTTTAACTTAAAAAGTTAATAAAACTAATATTTTACACTGAACCGTTTAAACAAAAAAAGAATTTAAGTAATCTGTATTCTCACTTTTATTAACGAGGAAACTCATTAAATCTACCTACACTATTATATAACACTATACTCACATTTATTGTCTATAAAATTATTTTTTATATTATTATTTACCCATCTATAGTTTCTCATTAAATCATTGTTTTGAAAGTGATCAAATACTTTCAGTTATAATATATCCAGGACATCCGTGACCTCCCAAACATCACTGTCCTGCCTTTTTTTAATTTATATTTATTTTAATCTCAATGTAATTTAATTTGCATGTATTTTTTAGACATATTATGGTTACGTTTGTCAGAGATACAATAATTGTTCCTGACGACCAGTACAACCGTAAAGGAGCAATTCGATTACTCTCCGACATCTTGTGCTATCCTCCAGAAACATAAAACATCTTCGGTTACAGAATTGAAAGTACTCAAATCGCTATTTACAACTGTACATTTTATATGATTCCAATATTGTGATTGTATTTATATTTTTATTTTAATGTGCAACTTTATTTATGTTTGTACTTAAAATTAAAGAAAGAGTTAACATAGCTGTTCACAAACAAAATTATAATAAATAATTAAAAATGTATAGGTAAATTATACATTTATTTTGTTCTCGAATCAAGACTGATTATTATGTATGTTAATTTATTAAACATTAAGCTGTATAATTACATGTTAAATTTAATTGTTATGTACATAGACTTATTCAATTATCATTTTCGACAAATTCTTATTAAAATTATTACATGATAACACTTGAAAATATATTTTTTTTTTTATCAAGTAGGTAATAGGTATATACTGACAATATACCTCAGTCGCAGGTTTTCTTTTTTTAAATATTTTGTCTGCCGTTATACAATCTACGATCAAATACCCAACGATTTAGACTTTAGTTACTTTTACGGTGAACCTATGATAGTAATCTATAGTTTTTGACACTTAAAACTGTTTAATGATTTATCGGCCAATTTGGCGTAGTAAAAATTGTATTAAAGAAAAACCCAAAAAAATAAGGTAAAATTTCTCAGTTTTACCGTATTAAATTTCAAGGTTGCTTACGTGTGAATATTTTCATCGTATTGCTGATTTCGATATTTTCAAATAACATTTCCTACTACTTACTTAAAACCAACACAATATAAAACCGTTTACGTAATATACGGTTATACGTACAGTTACGTACAACGGTAACGTATATTGGAGATGAAGTACAAATCGCTAAAGCACCAAACTGCAATTATACCGAATTATTTTACAAGCATTTAGTTCAACTGGTATTTAAATAACCCTCGCCTATACCAATATTGTATATTTTACTATTAGCTATACTTGCATCGAAGCGCAATTATAATAATCCCTAAAAATCTGCGATCCTGTCAACCCCGATGCGTTGGTTTTTATGTATTTATTTATAAGCGCTATATTTACCTACAACTGTTGGGACACAAGGCATAACGAAACATAACCCGGCGAGGCATCATAATATTTATGCTCAACAACAACTGTTGCTGTCCCGCGAACTCGGTTCCGGCAACTTGTACGAGACAGTGATTCACGCGGTCAGCAATCCAAAATGGTAATTAAAACAATATACCATTATAATGATTAATCGCGACGGACGGCCGAACACACATTGCCATTTACACGCACAGGAGCCGTGGAAGGATTCGATGCACGGCACAATGAACAATTCAAAATGGCGTCGATCGGTCGTGACACTGATTTTCTTTGATCCCCTTTGTGCAAAAAAAGGCCACCCGGTGACTGGAATAACGGTATAGGGAATGGGTGGATCCTGCAAGTCGAGGGGTCGGTCCGGGCCCCGGCGAAAATAATCCTGCAACGCAATGCAGTGGTATCGGCGTCGGGGAACGAAAATTATGTTGAAAAAAACTGTAACGAATTTGTTATTTTTGCAGTCAACATTAAATTACCAACAGGTACACGAGTATGTACTAGTGATGGGAATCCGAAAATCCGGATTTTTCAAAAAAAAACGCTTTTTGAGTCATTTGAAAATCATATAATTGTTAGATACATTTACAATATAAAGATGTGTACCTAAGTAAAATTTGTTAATAAAATTTTTTAAAAAAAACTCTTAACTTTGTCTATAAAATTCTTTCGGATTTCGGATTTCAACAAATCCGAAATTCAAAAGCAGTTTATCTCTTTGGTGTTTTATTTTATTTTCACATATTTATCAAAAAAATGTTATAGAGCTTTATATTGTAAAATTATTTAACACTTAAATGATTTTTAAGTAGCTCAAAAAGCGTTTTATTGTGAAAATCCGGATTTTCCGATTCCCATCACTAGTATGTACTACACGTCGTATGTAATATGAATTATGATCATTGTCTACAACGATAGAAACTACCTAGTGAATATTAACTTAAGATGCTACCTATACTTCGATTGTTTCGACCATAAATATTATTTAATTTAAACGAAATTATTCATTTCACGCCCCGCGAATCGAGACAAATCAATCAACGTCGGTTATCTTTGCATCGTTGACCTCCGTTTATTCGATAAGCCCACACCCTCGCAATCTATTCTACAAATTGTGGCTACAGTAGGAATAAAGTCAGCCTAGCTAATCAGAAGAAAAAAATACTGTTCAATATATTATCATGGTGCTGTAATGTCAAAGGTATCAGTAACAGTATCTTGAAAAAAAAATAACATTTTAAGATAAGGGGTAAAAACTTATTATAGATAGAGTAGATGCCAATCGCTCAATTCAAGGGGTCAATGCATAAAGGTGATAACTAACATTTTTTCGAAAATGCATTTTATTGCATGAATAAAAGGGTTATAGTATATTAAAAAGCATCCCTAGACAGACAAAAATTTTCCTCTTTTAAGTTATTTCATCTATTGAATGTACAAAAGTTCCCCATAGCTCATGTGTAATACCATTGAGTATATATTGTACAATATATACTCAATGGTAATACTTAGTTACAAAACGAGCGTTTCTGAACAATTTAAAAAATGTCAGTTAACACCTTTAGCCATTGACTGACCCCTTCAATTGTCTATGGACTACGTCGTCTGAAATACCACAAGTATAAATCAATAATTTGGACAACTGTCTCCTAATAGTTAAGTTTCGGGAAGGGAAAGGCCACAAGGCATATATATTCATAATGTAAGTACATAGACCGTATTTACAGTAACCGAACAAAATTCACCTTGATGTTATTAAGAGGCTTCTACAAAAATTCGAGTATTCTTAGGAACCCACTGTTACATGTAAAAAACAAATGCTTGGCTCAAAAACAGAACCCGAATGACTTGTAAAAGTTGAATCATATTTAATATAAACCTATACTCCACGGTATAAATCTACTTAAAAAAATAATTCATCAATCAAATTAACCTCTTCAATATGTTAATACTCGTATATGATTTTACAAATTTTAGCTATTTCTATAATTTAAAATTTTAAGGTTTTTTAAAGGTTTCCAGAATCTTGAGCTTCCCACCCTGATCTCCGCCAATACGAATAGGTACCCATAATTTCAGTAACTAGTAAGTACAATAATGTCGGGTATACCGTATAGGTATGATATTACAAATATATTATTGATAAACTCATGCGACTAGTGATAACTTTTAGTTTTGACTTGTGCAATACTTTTTATGCATTTATATATATAAACTCAATTTTAATCATGTAAGTTGTATGATTATCATCTCAAATAAAAGTTCCAGAGAATTTTCTAAAGTGGAGACAATTCAAAATCATCTACGAGTATATTTACACTAATATACTAACAATTGGCTCAAAAATATAACAATATTAATTAATGGTTAAAAGAGTATAACACAATTGAATTATAAACAAAATGTACTTTTAAATGTTTCTTTGTTAATTAGTTTCGAATATAAAATATACAACACAATATTGTGATGTATTAGATTTAAAATTTTAATTAAGGGTCCTATCACTGGATAGCTTCCCTACTCATAGTCTACAAGTCATTTACTACATTGTTAGCATATTTTCTTATTGTATATTTTGTATGTACAGATTGTAAATGTTATTTAATATAAAAAAATTTTAATTAAATGTCTAAAAATTGAAATATTTCCCTGGACGGATTTTGTTTTGTTTTTTTTTTCTATAAAAGAAGAACGATTGAAAAGACGTTAGATGTAACATGGGTCGGAATGTTTGGCAGTAGACAAGACAACTGAAAAGAGAATGCTAACACGGATGAGTGGAGTAACTAGAGGGAGGATAGAATAAGAAATTAATACACAAATGAGAGTCTAGGAGTTGTTCGGTTGTTGGGAAAAACGAGAGAGAATAGGTTAAGGTGCGGTGGTTCGGTCAGAGATGAGACGACCGCAATGATCTTATCTGTAATAACTAATATATATATAGTATTAGTGGACATTGGTGCACATTCTTTTTTTTTTTTTCATTTTTGGTTTTCATTTATCAATTTATGATGTTTACCTCCTCGCTAATCGCTATTGATTTCTTTTAATATGTATAAATAAATTACAATATCTGGTAGATAGCAATGTCTGCTATTAACTATAGGGTACCTACCGCATAAATTCGATTTTTTTTTTTTAATAAAATTATCCATGTAAAAACATGTTGCATCATTTCTGCTAGGTACAACGGGCACTGAAGTGTTATAATATCATAATGTACAAATGAAATGAATACTCATTTGATAGTGCTATAATTAAACATAGTACCTACGTTATATTATTCAGTAGAACCAAGAGTATGGTAAAGGAAAACGTTGTATCCACAGATTCGCATCGAACGACTCGATTGTGATGAAATCATCAAATAATTGCTTTGGGCCAACATTTTTTTAAACGTTATTGGAATCAATACTTGCAATTATTTAAAAATGGTTTTTGACGATAAATCTGTAACAACCGTGAATGAGTGTGCAAGTAGAATTTTTGTCAAAATTTACCGAGTACGCTTGGACGTAGTCCGAGGCGGCTAGCACACGTTGAATAAATGTCTAAATCGTTGGACCAACAAGAAAACCTTGAAAGAGATGCAAGTCATTGGCTAAGTTGGGATCAGTGTAAATTTATACAATTGATTCTACTAAGCTCTAATTCCACACAAATGGGATCAGCCGGCCAAATCCGTTCTCTCCACAAGCGTCTTTGGCGGGTAGAAAAATTCCTTCGTAGCAGTTCAGTTACAAATGACGACCACAAAATATTTCGACACGATTGAAATTTATTTGTTTAACAATTATCGTAATAAATAGTGCGGATGGGTTTTGAAGGTATTATTAAAAGGAAATAAAAAAATATCAGTAGAATAATGTATAGAAATGGTATTGGTGTTTAAAAATATGGAATCACAACAAAACGATAGACTTTTTTAAAGGCCTACAAAAACACAAAACCTAGACAATTCAAGAATATTATATTTATCGATGAATATTAGGTATATTTTTTTACTCGTCATGACTTAATTTGTATAATACTGAGTTTTTTTTTCAAAAAAAAAATATTTTTTATTCTCAGATTATTTCAATAATAAACGCAAAAAAAATACATTTAACTAACTTTAGTTTTATCTTGGTTTATTCAAAAATTGTATCTTACTACTTCGTTCCCGTTAACTAACTAACCTTACCATTGAAATAGCATGATCATTTCTATGAGAAATAAATTGAGATACACGCTTAACAAATAATGATTAACGACATTATTACATATTGAACTCGCGTACACTTAAGCCTCTGAAATATTATTAAAAAAAGGATGTTATAGTTAAAAAATCTATAAACAAGCTAGATTACAATTTTTAAAAATCTTTATTTATTTTATTAAAATAAAATTGTAAATTCAAAAATTCTATTGTAATATTAATAATTATGCTAATTAAAAATAATAATAATAATATAATAGTAATAATAATAATAATCGTAATAAAAAAATATAATACGTTGGTATTCGTCCTAACATAAAAAAAAACCTTTTTTAAAAAAAATGTATCATTAAATGGTGTTTGTTGTTAAAGACCTAGTGAATAAAAATAAAAGCCGTGAGATACAGCGATGGATGAGAATATTTTTTTTTTTTTAGAGTTATCGAATGCAACTCGTTAAACTTAACAGCATATAAGATATATGCAGTCTGATAAAGTAGATGTTTTTTTAAGTAGTGTTCAAACACGTCGCGAAGCGTAAACGAATGTCCGTGTGACACATTACGAAAGTAAATCATTCAAAATAGATCGAAATGGTGCATCGAAAGATAAATTTTTTTTTCTTATTTCGAAACACAGTTTTAATTTAAGGCTTTTTTTAAATGATAAATGTCAAATATAATTACAATCAAAATATAATAACTATACAAGAAATCAATGTTTACAATATTTTTATTGTTAATGTTGTCGGATGTTTTACCGTCGAGACTGTTTTTTTACGGGGAGAACAAAAACTTAATACAAACACAATGTCACCACAATAAAGAAATCATTAAATGAAACATCCAAAATTCGGTTTAAACAGACAAAAAAAAAAAACAAACATTGTACATGGATGAAAACAAGAGCCGGTACACAATAAATGGTAAAAAATAACGTACAGTACTAAAGTGTTAGTAAAAAAAAAAAAAGAGGAGTGGTTGTTGTATTAACAGAGATCAAACCCGACAGGAAAAATAAATCATAAAAAAAAAAGTTACACTCGAAACACACAATCGACATATCATATTATTTTTGATAATAATAATATACACGAAAAATTTGATTACTTTCATACGATGGTAAAAATTACAAATATATATATATATATAAATTTTTTTATATTTGTTAAAAATATTAGTTTCTTTTTTTTGGTTTTTGTTAATAACACTAATATTTTCCTTCTTCTTTGCCTTAACAAACTAGAGGTAGATCACTAAAGCTAAACATTTATGATAAAATATACAATTTCTAGAAATTATCATGTATGTACACTTAAAAAAAAAAAAAAATCATGATTTAACGTGTGCTCATCATAGCTGTTGAACACATTAAGACTGGAGAATGAGAATACCAGTTTTCCACCCTATTATTCCAACAGCAGAATAATGAAGAAAGCTCTATATTATTTTACCAAAAATAAATAAAAGGCACTAAATTGCGTTATGTTGTTTTTCATACTTAAGCTTGTGAAAAATATCATTAAGACTTTTCAGTTCATAAGAAAAACACAATAAAAAGTAAAAACGGTGGAACAGAAAATGGCAAAACGATGAAATTACTCTATCATAATATTGGAACACATGATAAATTGCAAAATTTCCAATTCATAAAAAAATCTAACAAAAAAAACATTCTATTTTTAAGTTGCAATATTTTGTACCTTCTTAATATATCGAAATGATTTAGTTGATAGCTAAAAACGAAAAAAAAAAAATATGAATTGGAAACTAAAATATAAATTGATTTAAAAGTATTATACAATATAAAACAAATTGGTTTTAAATAATAGTTATGCTAGAAAAAAAAAAAAAAATTGTTATTTGGAATAATAAATAAAATTTTAATAATTAAAAAAAAAAAAAATTAAAATTGAATATTAAAATATTAAGTAAAAAATTTCTTTAATGAAATATAAAGATAAAACCGTTAGGCAAGTGTAAACCAAAGAATCGTTATACAAGAAGAGAAGAAGGGACTTGCGGCTCATAAAAAAAAAAGTTCAATAAATTATTCTACCCTCCCACGACGACTTCATCGATAATTTCACTCCAGCCTGAAACCAAACAGATCTCCCAGACCCTCTTCCGAATCCAGACAGTAGTTGTAGTCGTCCTCGTTGGGCGGTTCTAACATCAAGAAAGGTTCACTCGACCCCTCGAACATGTCTCTCCCTAAAACATTAAAAACACAACATAATATATAACTAAAAAAAAAAAAAAAAACACCAAAACAACAATCAAAGTAACATGCACGAGACAATCTTTAAGTAGAATTATGAAACACACACACACACACACAAATTACGGGGTTAGAAAGAAGAAAGAAGTATTAAATAAATTATTATTATACAATTCAGACTAGCACTTTGACGTTTGATCCATGACATAAAATCCTAAGCGGACAAAATAATTTTTTTTTTACAAAACATAAAAAGAAACATTGAAACTATTGAGGAAGACGATGAAAAGAAAAATGATCTTACAACAAATATTACATTAAGTAGAGGTGGTATCTTAAAAATTAGTTTTAATGTGATTTTTTTTCGTATTCCATTTTTAAAATGCTCATTACACCCGTAACACGACAATAGGAGACTCTAAATATCTGTCCCGAGGCCAAAAGCAGACAACACGGCCGGGCACCAGCTGAATTCCATGGTGCTACAAGACGTACATTACATGCGGCACTCGTAAAATTCAGCGGACGACCGACGTGACCGACGAATACTTGCCGACAGCGTGATTTACCCAAAGCAACGGCGATATTTGTTGTGAACATAACAAAAAAAGTACACAATGAAAAGCGCGTTTGAATGAAGTTTCTCGAGACAATTTTCGTCTCGCTAAGACCCAACGCAAACAACACAACATGACAACAATATTATTAATAAATATTAACAAAAGCATTCGAATGCGGTTAGAAAAGTACAAACACAATCTGTTATTTAATCATAAAAGCAGAAAATTAGTATATCATATTAATTAAAATAATAATGATAATAGTAATAAGATAATAATAAAAACTTTGTACAATAAAAAAAATAAACTTTTTTTCTTATCAAGCATTGTGTGTATTTTTTTTACTTCAAAATTAACATTATATTATGTTACAAAGAGATTTCTATTATTATATATATATACAAATTTAAAAAATAACAAAATTGATTATTTATGTGTCCTAATCGGCAGATTTAACAGCAACATTGTGCACAAAAAAACGAAAGAATTAAAATTATAATTTTCTCATTTCAAATGAAAAAATCTAACCTTTATAACAATATAAAATTTTTTCTTTGCTGCACAACATTTCAAAATATATTTTTTTTTAAAACCATTAGAAGGTGGCAATTGGAAAACAAATTTATACTTAATCAAAACTCTAAAATCGTAATATACAAAATTAATATTATACTACATTTTGTCAGAAAAAACCCCCCATTAAATTTTATTTTTCAATAGCCAAACTAATAATTTGTGTTATCATGAAAAATACTATTATCTGATTAACTGTAAACTAATTTCAGTTAAACCAAAATAAAAATCTACAAAACAATTTTTTTTTTTTAAATTGCCACTTTTTAGTAGTTTTTTATTTTTTATGGCAGTTATCTGTTATTAGTAATTATGTAAATAGATACAAGACCAAAAGCTGTTAAATCATGAGATACTTACAAAATAATTATATTTAAATATTAATATGTAAGAGATCATGAACGTAATATATGTTTAAAACTTAACGTAATTATCAACAGCGATGGTCGGACACCATAAACAAAACAGTTGGTAAAAATGTAAATGTCATACGTAATATTATACTAAATAAATAATAAATTATTAATAATCGAAAAAATACTGTAAAAAAAACAAACTGAAAAACTGAAAACCAATAAAACTAAACTACTATTAAGATAAAAAAAAAAAAACTAATCTAGGAATCAGACGATATAATGAACACTTGCGACAACATGCCAAATACTAATAGGAGTTACTTAATAACAAAAGAAGAAAAATAATAATTTCTTATTATTATTACTATGGCGCCGATAAGATGAAAGCTTTTAAGATATAGATGAAAAAATGTATTAGTATGTATATCTTATGATAAAGACTAGAATTATTAAAAGTAAGTAGAAGAAAGTTATAAGCGAGCAATAGTAACAGTTTGGAACTTCATGGCCATCATGCGTAAACTGGGATGTGCGTGGAAAACGAAACGTGGTATATGTGTAATAATTCGCATACCGGAACCGCTCGTGCTGGGTATGTACTGATGTTCGTCGGCCAGCTCGGCGTTAGTCCTGATCATCGATTGGTTTTCGTCATTTGTATTGTGCTTTTGTAATTTTATCTTTTGCGACGAATATGTCGGAGACTGCTGAATGACTGTTGCTTTTTGTGGCGATTTAATGACAGTACTGCTGCCATTTGAAGAGTCACTGATACTCTGCAACAAAAGTTATCCATATCTAAATTAAACTAAATTTAATAAATAATCGAAAATGTGTTTTAAAATAAACTAAGAAAATATGTTTTTTTTATAAATAGTTAATAAACAGATTGTCTGTTGTTTGTCAAATTAAAAATAATTGATGAAATTGCAAATAAAAAATTATGTATTATACTTTTAAAAATAATATTTATTATTTATTTTTCCCAAAACTGTGGAAAAGATTCCCCTTTTAACATATGTATAAATAGCTAATGATATTATGGTGTTTTATACAACTTCAAAGGGCAAGGAATAAACATTTTTACTTGTTGCCTTAAACTGTACTTTTCGGGAACGATTCTGATCTAGACATTCTATATGAAGAAATCGGTCCGGCACCTACAGAGGTATTGTGGGTCCAAACACAAAAATAGAAGAGAAAAATGCATTATTGTAAAAATAATACATTCTTATCTCACATCAAAGCTAAAATAACACCAAAATTGCATTTAAAAAAAATCATTGTTCTTTTATAAATTACTATTGTATCCGTAATCGTTTTTCTTTGTTTTTAGAATTTAGAATTTTTGAAAAAAAAAACTATTACTTGGCTGTTAGGGCACTATGAATGGCATTTCGAAGGCTTTGAGGCACATGTTCTTATTATTCAACTCAGTTGAAATTTGGCATATTCACGTTTTAAAAAATTTTAAAAATGGGGGGTGGCAGTTTTAAAATTTAAAAAAAAAGTGAATATTTGAGCCATCCATATATATAATGCACGTCTTAATATGGACCTGCCAAACAAAATAGGATTGTAAAAAATCACCAACCTGGGTTATGTATGGCCTTAGCTGACTTTGAGGTTGGTGTGTAGTCGCGCTGGCATTGTACTCTGGACACAAGAACACTTCAATTTCTCCCGTGTTGCTTTTCATGTACATTTTTTGCTTTATTTAAAACACAATTATTTAGACAATAGACTCATTTAACGATTAAAGATTTTTTTTTTTTAAGTACTTACTTCTCCGTCAACATGATCTTGTGGCACTTGCAGCTCAGTTTCTGGTGGCGCTTTGACGACCAACACAGTCTTCTGCCTAAACGACTCAATGGACCTTATATCTTGATATGATACGTAACTATACCTTTTGTCTTCATTCAATTGTTTTATATCCCGTTCTGAAAAATTCATTAGTATGTTACCAAAAATATAATTACTCAAGAACAGAAATTGTTCACAATTTTCACAACGAGAAATTGTTCGATTATTTGAAAAAACATTTCAATTTTTACCAGTATTGATTATCAGTTTGTCTAATTCTTCTTCTTTGGCTTTCATCGTTTCTATATCTTGTTGAACCGAATTCTTATCCGATCCGTACATACTGCCACCTCTGAAATTAAGTAAAAATACATAGATAATTATCTAAACAACGATGAGTGTTATTTATTATATTAGCACTTACTTCCATTGAATGTTATTTTTAGATTTCTTTTCCAAAATTCCGATACCCTCGAGAACGTTTGTGATGTCGTAAATTCTACGTTTTTGTACGTCTAATTTTTCCGATGCAATATTCAAATCAACAACGCCGTCGACAGAGTCTTCCAAAAGACCGATGAATTTCTTGGTCAACAAGCCTAACGACGTATCATATCTGGTCGGTCGCTCAGCACATTTCTTCCCAGCTACTGCAATGATATTGAAGAGTGTTAAAAAAGAAACAATATATTGTTACTACTACTATTATTATTATTTATTGTAAAAATTGTGTACCACTTTGTGCGGGACTTGGAGACTCGCTGCCGGCACTCGAACTCGACCATTTCCTCATACGTTTAGCCGTTACCGGCACAGCTACATCGTCTTCATAGGCGTAATTCGAAGTTTCTAAATTTAAACGGCGTTTAACACCCTAAAGAATAAAAACAAATAGTAAGTCAAATATGCATTTATTTTAACCCCTTAGGCAAGTGCGTGGCAGCACCGATTGTTATTATTTAATTGTTTTCTTATGTAACAAAAAAAAACGCCCTCACTGGAAGGTGAAATAAAACTACAGTATTTTTCATTAGAAACAATATTAAAAAATATTTGTTAAAGATATTCATAACAATTAGGAAGAAGCGACTATTTTTATTTTTTATAATTATATAGAGGCAAGTTATTAATTTATACTAATTAAAATTTAACAACAACTACAAGAAATAACAAAGGTTTGAAGGTTTTCTTAATATCAAACCTACAATTGTTTTAGAGAATGAAAAAATAGTTTTTACCTATAGATCATTTTATTAAAAATTTATTTTATCAAAGATTTTTAAATATTTTTCCTAATTTTTCTAAATATTTTATGCAAGTTTACTACAAATATTACAACGAAAATCCATGACAAAATTTAAATATTTTAGTATTTTTTTTGATAGTTACATGAATTTTGTTTTATTTAATATTTTAATAATAATTTTTAAATACCTAATTTTTTTTTTTTTTTAATATACGTTATGGTATTTATGTATGAATTGAAATTTTCACAAAATTTTCTTTTAGAGAAAACTTTTTTTGTTGTTTGCTTGAAGCAAAGCTTATAATGTTTACTTTCTTTTAATTTTTTACACATATTTCATTATTAGAAAATAGTTAGTATGTATATATATTTTGACAACTATTTATGCCTTTTTTAGACATTTTTTTAAGGGTTTTTAGTATATAACGACTTACTTGTGATTTTATTAAAGGCGATGTCAGAGGATTTGGAATGATTTGGTTCTGTGGAGTCATACCATATTCGTGATCAAGCAAATGATATGGAGAAGGCGTCAAGAAAGTTGTCATATTAGGACTACTGCTAACATAATCTATACAAAAATAAAATAATGTTCTATAAAAAGTTCATTAACAAATAAAAAAATAATAAAAAATTAGTATAATTTATCTACCTAATTTTATTATTGTTGTATTTGGAGTCGAAGATCCGTCGTCTTCAAGATTTAACACCCTGCATGCCTTAGACATTTTGTTTTTTTGTTTTCTCTCGATCAAATGCTATACCTAGAAACACAAAATTGTAATTATTTTTAAATGGTATATTTTAAAATAATTATTCAGAATAATATTAATTCAGACTAGTATTATGAACTGATAAATAAACCAAAACAAACAGTGCCCTATGCAAAGAAAAAAGTTGAAATGGTTAAAAAAAAAAGAAATAGAATTAGTCTAAGGATTATTTTTTAAGTTTGAAAACTAAAAAAACATCAGAAAATAAAATGATTAGAAAATTTAATGTATAAATTAAAATCAGTAGCGCAATATTGTAAGACGAAAAAAAAAATCTACTCTTATTTGAAAGAAATGATGCAAATAATGCTTATAAATCTTACCAATTAAAATAAGTACACTAAAATAATAAATTAAAACAATCCTTATTTTTCTTTATGTAGACATTACTAAGGAATACTCATGTAAACTAGATTTTATAAACAAATTAGTTTGTAGGAATTGAAATTGTAAGTCAAATTTAAAAGGATAAAAAAAATTGCAAACACCCAAAACATTAATTATTTAAACGAGGAATTTAATTATCGCATACAAATAACTTAGTAGGTTATAACTACTATTCTTATCTACAACACGAATAAATAAATGAAGTAACAAACTATTAATTTGACATACATTATACTGTCTATCATGTGTTTTTATGGAAATGTCGATAAGGTTTAAGTTGAAATTTCAATTCAATATAGGTCTACATTTTTAATAAAATTATTTATGTATTCACTAACAGCCTTTGAGTTGGATAAAAAAAAAAAATCTAAATCTAAAAACAATAGTCGAATGCAATCCTATAGTCACCGACTGGTGGATCCGTATTGCCCTATCTAGTCTTAGTGGTCTTAGTGTTCGGGGCTAAAGCTTTTGAGGGGTCTAACACGACCAAACAAAGACTTGAGCCCCCCCTCGAAGTGCCCAAAAAAGTTACCGTATTCGTGTACCGTATACGGCGACTACCGTTGTGATCGGTCGCTACCGGTGTCCGTGTACCAGATAACGAGCGGACAAATTCGAAATGGGACGACGGACAAGAGAAAATCGTGCGACAACGAGACGATATTAACGACATTGGACAACACGGCCGCACCGACATAGAGGTTATGTTTTGGCTGGCGCGCGCGACCGTCGAACGTTGCGTGCCACTACAACGCGCCCAAAGCGTCCGCGGCCGTCGGACGTACACCCGGTTATCCGGTGGACAAAATGCCGGAGGGACAGAGGAAAACTAATTAAAAAGGGACAACGGCCTGGCGACAAAGGACGGCGTCGTCGCCGTTCCGTTATGGCGGCGGCGGCGGCGGCTACGTCCGAGGACGTTGGACTCGTGGAGGACGCGCCGCGGCGTAGGCTTACCCGCGTTTAATAGGAGAACCGCAAAACCGTCGGTCACTGGTATGACGGAGATGTGGCGACTTCCGGACGGCGTGCCATGTCGTCGGCGGTACTTCCAAGCCTACCGCTGTTCGAATGGCCGTGGGTACGCGACAACGCGACAACAGATTGCCCGCGAACAATCACTGTCGACTGGCCGGCGGAAATAAAAACGCGTTCGTCACCGGCGGACACTGAGCGACGCGGTAGAAACTCCGGTGTCGCCGTTGTAATATTATCGTAATTTGTAGATTTCGTTTCCTGGGTTATTATTTTTCTTCGCTGTCCAGGGGTAGGTATAAGATTTTTGTAACTCGGCGACGGTGGAGCCTTTTGTTTACGCGGACGGACCGTGGCGGCCGTGAAGGGGAGGGGGTAGGGCCCGCCGACAGGAATCGAAGCGGTCCGTGTGTGCGTGTGCCGGCGCCGCGGCGGTGGGGCGCGGCCAATGGGAACTCTGCTGCCGTGTGCCGTTGCCGGACGCCGGCCAATCGCGCGTCGTCCGCGGCGCGGCAATCGCCGTTCGAACCGTTTTCCCGCTAATCGAGAACAGCTGTTCGGTGCCGCCGTTCCCTTCCCGCGTCACCGCCGCCGCCGTGCCGGTCGACGGGAAGCGCGCCAAAAACCGAGATTCCTCCTCGTGCTCGATCCGCCGCCGCCGCCGCTCGGAATTATTACACTTAAATGCACACCGAAATCGATAGAGCGTACAACCCAAAGGCCGTCATTTGAACTGGCTCTTTGCGATGATTTTGGTATTATCTAATTCAATAGTATACAACGGAAAATATTATAAACGCATATATTGTGGTCCATATCAACGAATAGTTGAACTTGGATTTTCGCATTTGATATTAAATTTTTATTTTAAAAGTTTTTCTAGAAAAGGTATGGAATTTTTCGTACGTTTTTTGTTTATGCAGACGGTCTTTGAATTTAAGGTCTGAAAGATCAAATGAAAACAACCTACGTTGTAAGCGTGACATTTGTCAAAATTTTAGTCTCAATTTTATAAATAGGTACTACGACCTACATACTTTATATATTTTACAGTGATAATTTATCAGTAACAACGCAAATAGCATATCTATTGGTATTGTCTTTATATACTTAATAGTATTATATTATACATACATTATTATATATATATATATTTAATATATACATATTTTTTTAACGGTACTTTGTTTTTTGTCGGTTCTACAGTATCTAAATATCTGTATTTCGAGTCAAAACGTTATCTGTCGTCTCCTGTACACAAATAACAAAACAAAATCATTTTTCGAGCCAGTCCGACGCTGTTTGAATTCACACAGCACAATACACGGGACACCCGCCTGGGCTGCGTTCGTCATATTGTATTTTATGCTTCCCGCCATAGATACGGCGCGTCAGACGGTCCGCCGATTCTTGGAAGAACAGATGATGTTGCCGCGCGTTCCCCGCTGAGTCCCAGATGACAGTCTGGAGACATAAACGTCGGGACCGGAGGGTCAGAGACCAGAGTACACATTGAATAGGGATATTTCGTCCCAACGCTCAAATTTAAACAGGGCAGGCTAAACATCGTGGCCGTTTAACAAAAATACAATAGGTACCTACTTATAATATTTTATATTATACTACTATTCTAAGATAAAAATATAAAATGTTATCAAAATGATCTTAATTTGCATTAGAAAAATAGTTCTATACATAGTAAAAATCTATTTTTTTTTTTATTAAAGCACTCAATAATTATTTGTAAATAATTTTATACTATCAGCCTTACATAAACTAATAAACTGCAACAATAATCAATAATGATCGTGTATGGGCCGCGGGTTAAACAGCATAAGAACCCTTTTTTTTTACAAAGTAAATTTAATATTTACGACGTTAAACCACCACTGATAATCTCGGTGTACAAACTTTTGATAATCCGTTAATCCTGGTAATCTCAAGTATACCTACCTAATATATTTAGCAAATTCTGATTACCTAGAGGCTAGAATACATAATGTCTTATAATAATGATTAACCCTCTACTGTGTTCACGCAAAGTCACCACATTTTAAGTAATAAGGTAAACATTAATAGGGGAAGACAACAAATTTAACACATCGACGGTAAAAAAAGTAATTATTTTTCAAATAAAAGTTGTAGACCGTGAGTTTTTCTATGTATACCAGTTTAAAAAACTAAATTTCGTAAAAAATAATTGCATTATTTATGAGCTTTGAACTAAATTATGAGTTTAATTATTATAATAATTAATTGTTGGTGGTATTCAAATGTCGTGAAATGGTGTTTACATAATTTCAATTATGTCTTCCTGATTTTTTCTTAATTACTAGAACTAGCATCAGGTGGAAAAGTCATACGATTTTGCCCCATACCGTTGTACCTCATTAGACTATTTATATAAATCGATCTTATTGTCAAACTAAATAAGTAAGTAAATGGATATTTTCAAGCAAGAAATGTAAAGTAAACTAAATTGGCTATCGATTAATAATAAAATGTTGATAATATTTTAGTATTATACGATAAAAATATAAAACTAATTTCTTTTCCTTATAATGATATCAAAACCAGTCCACTATCATACTCAACAAGCCAACAAACAGGACGTTACAAAATTGTGCGGTTAGATTTTTCTCGATGATACAATTATTGTTGATAAAAAACGAATAATACGGTTTGTGCCCCACACTGTAGGATTAATTAAATATTAATAATATTTGTATGTTATGAGAGTTTTTTTTTTTTGGCGTGGATGTAAGTATGTTTTCCCCGATAATTAGTAACTACAATATTAATCAATTATGATAAACGTTCATAAGTTGATATAAGTAAATAATGAATAATACAATAATTATATTTATAATTCTTTGGTAAAATCAACGATATCGATAAATCCAATTATTATTTTTTTTTTTTACATAACCCTGTATCACGAGTCATTTGAATATTTGTATCAGTATGTTTAATAAACGACGATAAAGAATATTATTACCAAACAAAAAGCAAAAAATTTATCGACATTGGGTTAATGGTCGCCCCATAGTTAAGTACATATTATTACATCATACTTAGATATTTTAACATTTTAAAATTATAGCTTTTAAAATTGTTTGGAATTCTTGAATAGGAAAAAAGTTGAAAATAAGATATTCTCATCACTTCAAATAGTACCTTATTTGTAGGTATTAGCTAACAGCTAATTAATACTTTACTCATTTTATATTTTTAACCAATATACAAGTTTCTTTAGACATTTTTTAAAAGAAAAATCCCAGGATTAATTCGTATAGATCTTACATCAATTTAATTTTTTTTAAGATAAAGCGGGCAACCAAATATTCAAATTTTTTTTATTAAATAAAAGCTCAGCTCAAATGTACATTGTATACCTCAAATGTACACCATTTTTGTTTATCATAATAATATTGTTAAACGGCATTGTGTCATGGAAACTATTACACCTATCTATTTTTTAGTAAAATATTACACAAAAGTTACATGTGTTTTTGTACTCGCCTTTTACCTATGTATATTATACCGACCATATTACTGCAATAGAAATATTATGGAAACCGACAGGAAAATGAGAGCCGCTTGCAGTTACTATAGAAATATCACGCTGAGAAAGTATTACACGATTTGGACGAAAATGGTTAAGTACAAATTGAACGTGACAAAACGAAATTGTCTAGAGGTTTGATAATTATAATATTCCGTATTCCTTCTTGTTTATTTAAGCACTTGTTATTTTATTTTGGCCGTATTGAACCCGAATTTTCTGTTTTATTAACAGGCAGTAAAAATCGTTCCTTCTGTACAACAGCAAATCGTAACTGAACGAAACGAGAAAAACATCTTACCCCTCGTTTACACTATTAACAAACTGAGTATATCGCCAAAGAACAGCGTCATTTGCCAAGTACAATCGGTGTACAGTAATAAAGAAAAAAACCGTTTAATTCTTCGCGCAATCGTACTTGCCAGAACTGTTTGGAAACTATGGAAAAAATGTACAAAACAAACGAGTATTAACGCATAGCAGTAAATGTGTATGTTAAATGCCAAAAGGTCATTCAATGCAAATGACAAAATCTGAGGTTTAATAATAATTTATTAAAAAAAATTATATTATTTCTCATCATATTATCCGAGATGCTCATAAAACCGCTTACCTGGTCATTGGTATTATAGGGCGTGCATTGTATGAAGGGTGACATTCCAAAACTCGAAAACCATTATCAAAAATACAATTTTCCTTTAATGTAGAAAAACTAAAACGAATATTGAAATAATAACTAAAATCAAAATAGCTAAAGTTATTTAAATGAAAACACCAAATAAACTTCGATTTGAATACAAAATAAAATAATTATTAGACAATGGTATATTTTATTTTATTAAAATTAACTGTTATCAAACTCATTTAAATTAGGTTCTTCACTCGATAGGTTTTATTAATTTAAATGTTAATTAAAATGAAAATACCCAGAGGTATTAAAAAAAATCCCAAAATATTAATTTACATACTTAAAAAATATAAATTTGTGTATAGGGTTTTTTGTTAAAATCATAACCATGTCTAATTAAACAGACATGATCACCAAATACTGTGCCGGATAGTTCTTCCCCATACTCAGAAAAATAAGTATTACCGTGCTAATTTTCATTATAACATCAGCTTCTATGGCTGTGGACTATGGTAAGTGTACAAATACGCAAATATGGGAAAATTGTGTGGTATAGAGATCACGTCTGTTTATTTGATCATTATCAGAACCATAACGAAAAAAGGTATGTATTATCGAATATATAATATATTTACTAAAAATAAAATTATTAGGAAATATTTTTTATTATTATGAAAGTATTTTATAATTTTTTGGCCACAATGAATAACAGTAATATATTACAAATATTGTTTAAATATTATTAATCTATTCAACGTCATTTTGCAAACAATATAAGTAAATGATTAAATTCTTGCAAAAAAATTATAATAATTCAATTTGTTTTCCACCTGGGATAATTTCTTCAAGTGTATAAAAATGCATATTCCGAGTGTGGAGCTTATTGGACAGTTTAAATATGTTTTTTTTTTTAAATAATAAAATCTTCACAGATCACAACGAAGTTGAGCTAACTGAAATAGTATTTAGTCGCAAGTTTTATTACCATTATAATTTATTATTCTAAATTTATGGCGGAACCACATGTTGGAAGCGGGATTTTTTGTGATAACTGATTCCACAAACGGGATAAATTGTGTTTTTCTGCTGGTAACACTGTACCCATGTAAACACAAATCGATGACTTGAAACTGATAAGAGTGTTTTGGAGTCACGTGTGTGGTGTACATTGTGTTCTCATGACAATTCTGAGCTCGAAACATTTTCAAAAACCAACAAATACCTAAATTTTAATTATTACCAAAATAAAAAACACACCGATTTTCCAAACATGCAGTTGAGATATTACAAAGGTGAAGACGGCAACCGGGTTTACACTTTAAAGGTAATAAATAATAATAATGTTTGCCAACAGTGACCAATTCTAAGACGAACAGTCTGTTTAACAATATCTTCATTTTGTTTCAGAAAGTGGACCCGGCCGGCAACCCAACGCTGAGCGCTCATCCAGGTACGTTGCCTATTTACCTATGAAGTGTCGTTCGAAAATAAGTTAAAATGTTTATTTTTGTTTTTTTCACAGCTCGTTTTACACCAACTGATCAAAATTCCAAAGAGAGAATTCGTATTAAAGAAAGATTTGGTCTGCTTATGACCCAACAACCAGCTCCTATATTTTAACAAAAACCTTAACTCATTATTATTGTTATTATTAATGTGTAAATGAAAATTAAAACATTAAACCCAATATGTAACTTTATTTTATAATAAATATAAATCTTTTCAATTGAATAACATTATCACAGACTTAGTTTTTGTTTAAACCTAAACACATTTTCGTAATTTCAGTTCTGTGAATGTAACAAGTGCCTTTGAAACTCTCTATACAGTGAACTAACAATAACCGACACTTAAATAACAATATTTAGAACGTTAACGTAATATTGTTAGTTTAAGATTGCATGAGATATGAATTGTAAATTTCGCCAAATTTCAACATAGATTTTGCGTTCAGTTTGTGAGTAACATCTAACACCAAGCTGAATGCTTTTAAATACCGCAGCCTGTTGAAAATAGGTGTTATAGTGACGTTTGTGTTTCGTTGTTTGTACACGAGTCCACGGCGATACGACTGCAGCGCTTTGGATATACTATCGTCACAAGCGAGCTTAATCTCTCTGAGACAGTAGTGAACATGTTTGCTGTAATCCTAAACAATTTTTAACTGGTTTTTAACATAAAATCAATATTTCGAGCGGACGGTCAATTGTCGTGTTTCTTTACCTCCGAAGAGTCCCACACGGTACACAGCCCGATCATTGCTAAAAGTCGTGCCTCTACCGATAGATTGGACAAAATGAACTGAGACAAGTTCTTGGACGTTATTTCAGTTTCGTACGGGAAAATATAACTTTCAGCTTTTCTGTAAACATAACAATCAATTATTCGTGATTGAATTATCGTTGTTACATAAGAGTAATACGACTTATGGTGTAAACTTACTTTTTGGCGGGAAATATTATTACGGTGGGATACGTCTGCACGGCCAAGTGCCAACTCAAATCGTTGCTGCTTCCATTGATTCGAAAAAATTTCAAATCCTTCACGTTACGCATTAAACGAGCGACTGTCAGTAAAACATGTGCAACAACTTGACAGTACGCACAGATCGGAGTGTAGAAATACACTACAACGTTCTAAAGACAAAATATGAATGTTACAACAGTTATTTTTGGAATAACGTAAATGTTGTAGAGTTATTATATTACCTCTGTATTGTTGAAAACGGCGTTTTTGAAATTTTCTGAATTTAACGTTTGGATTTCGATCGATTCTTTGGCTTTACTTTGGCCGTTGTATGAATGAAAGTTCATTTCCGGATCTGAAGATGACCGCAAATGCCGTTTTGCTTGGTTATCCAAGAACTCCGTAAGTAACTTTGCCATGGATTCTTTGGTAACATGAGTTGTCCTGGGCAAAATGTGAACCATTTCAGTCTAAAAAAAAAAAAAGGATAAAATAAAAACACTTAAAGACCACATAGGTGGATAGGCCTACTGGGATACTGAAAAGTCCCTTTTCTCATAGGGCCTTTCTTCAGTAGGCTTTTTCGATATTACAGTGTACGCTACTCAAAACATGTAAATATATACAAATACCCAACTAACTAATTGTAGTACCTACTAAAAAATAAGAATTTTAAATATTTCCCCCTTCTCAAAGAAATAGGAATAAATATTATTCAATATTGCCCAACATTGCTTATTACGTTTTCGTAGTTATGTTGGTTAAGCACATAGAGAAGATTTTAAAATAGCCACCACCAATGTTACGATACATTGTAATCATTACCTTTTGGTCGTATATTAAGGCCGCAGTTTTCTCTCGGTATTTATTTAAATTTATACCAAAGCCTTTGGCGACATGGTAAAAGAGATTGGAGTCTAAAGCGATAAATGTCATACTTTTGTTAGCTTTACAAGCCAATCCCAAAACACTTGTCACATTGATCTTTGATTCTTCTTGAGGCTTTGAAAATCTTTAATACAATCAAAATTTAGAAGTACACTTCAAAAATAAGTTTTAAAAAAATACATATATATATAAAGAAGACAAGATAATATAAATGTTGAAAATGCGTACTTGAAATATTTGTCTGCGAGTAAAGCACGATAACAATCGTTTTCGTTCCAATAATCGACAAACTTATCAGTGCTGACATAATTTGATGTTAAATCCATTCCACTCCTATTAAAAAATTAGCAAGTATAAACAGTAAAATACAAATGTAAATTATAAATAAACCGGTCATTTCAAAAACGACACAAGTCACAAAATTGAAATAATTTTACATTAGCCACAAAAAAACTTCATAACTTCATATCTAGTTTTTGCAGCGATTCTAATTTCTTGTACTCAACATTTGTATTAAATATGAGTCTGACAAATTTAGATTTTACACAGAATACGTAACTAAGTATATAATTATCAAATTTGACAAAAAGGCATTTTTGAAAAATCTGTGACTTATGTATTTTTTTAAATGACCTATTCAAATATACAAGTCTTACTTTTTCCACAATCCTTCTGTCGTTTTTGTATCATGTTCGTTTTTAAAACAATATGAGAGTTTTATGTCGAAAAACAAACTCTCCGTAATCTTGCAAACGGCGTCATTAAAATAATTACTCTCAGTGTTTGTTTTTTCTTTTTCTGAAGTTTCCCACTCTCGACTTCCGACTGAGGATGTGGCATTTGGTTTTTTCTGCCAATTAACTATTATCTCCGGATACTTGTCTCGCACTGTTTTATAACATTCTTTTATTTGTTTTGGTCGTTCTTGAAAAAATACTGAAACACAAAAAAACTCCATCAGTTCATTCCAGTTTAAATCCCAACAAACAGACATACTGAGAATGTTCAAATAGACAACTTACGTTTCAACTGTTTGGACAAGTATTTGTTGATGTAATGTCCTTGAATATTGTTTTTACCGCAATTGAAATACTCAATACTCAACGCTTGTAACTGAAATTTTTAATCTCATAAGTTTACTGCATACAAAATAATAGGGTTGTCATAATAAGTGTTATCGGAAAAAAATGTTTATTGCTATCAACATACAGTTCCGTTTATAGACACATAGCGTAAAGCTAACCTCTTTAGGTATTGTAATACATGAGTTTTAAAAAATTTAATTTTAGGTTGAGGTATTTATATAAATACATTTATTATTTAACGTTTCACAACAAGACAAACAAACAGAATTAAAATAGCTGACAAATTGTAAATAACTGATTTATTTCATCATTATCTATTGACTTTTTCAGCAAATATTTTTATATAGATAAAAATACACAAAATTTATCCAAAATATAGTACTTCTAAGACTTTTATATGGCTGAAAATCCTAACTAAAAATTGTGTTTACATCTAAAAATGTACTTAAATACTTTTATATATATATTATTTTACAACACTTAAGACAGCAAGTAGCTCCTATCAATTAATTTGTATATCTCAAACAAACAGACAACAACATTAACTTTTTACTGTGGTGTATTTTTAATAAATAAATAATAATACCATAGAATAAGTAGGATGGAGATCCAAATATGGATTTTGTGGTGTAAAAAGTATCATGACCGGTCCACGTTTGAATGTATCATCTAGTAGTTGTGTTTTGCTTCGCCCAGGTGACGGAATCCAGCGTGAAGTCAACCTCGTCTCTCTCAAAATCCAATTTACAAGCGTTTCATCGTTAATTATTGATTCGTTGAATGCCTGCATAACATTTTTTTGAAAAATCAATCTAAGTAAATAAATGAATTATCTAAAAACATACCAAAGTGCGATTCCAAAGGTGTAATCTGATCATCGGATCGTCGTTGTTAATGGGCCAAGTCGCAACACACCATTTTACGTACATTTGTAATGGATCGGATTTCAAATGTTTAATGGCGGCATCCAAAATAACCGAATATAAATCCCAACCTTTGGTCGTTTTGAAATCGACGGACGCCACTAAAACATTCTGTTAACAAACGGATTAATAAAAATAAAGAAAATGTTTGGAATAAACAATAATATTGTTATCTCACATGATATTTGCGGTGTACTTTTACCAAGTCTAATTTGTTGCTTAATAATTGTACGGGTCGTTTCAATTCATGAATGAAACGAGTTAAATAAGCTGCGTTGTTCAATGGACCAACGTAAGGCACGCCTGTTTTTTTGTAATCGTAAGCCACAATCATTGGATATATTTTATTGCCTTTTAGCAATTTATTGCATACACTTTCGGGTTGCCAACAATTGACGGCGCCAAAGTACACCTGACAAAAACAAAATCGTATGGGTTTATTTGATTTGTATTTTTCTAATGTAAACAGGTGTACCTCATTTTTGTTGATCAAACACGCTTCTTCAAAAGCCTGTCGAGATTCTATGGAATCGGCGTCCCACGGAGCATAGAACATTAAAACAGCCAAATCGACTAGGGAAACTTTGCTCAATGCGTCATTTAAATTGCCTTGGTAGTAATCTTCTACGCACAAATTACCGTGGAAAAACGGTTTCGGACTGGGACCTTTGACGTCGTGATCACTTTGTCTGCAAATGGAGAAAATCATATTATTCAAATCATTTGACCAAATTGGAGTACTTACAAATTGATTAATGTGGCATATGTTGTGCACGTAATGATGAACACGAAAAACAGTTCTTTGCCCACCCGTTTGGCAAACATTTCAAACTGTTTGTATAAATTGGTCGGTTGGGTGTTCTCATCTGGTGGCTCTTTGGCAACCAGTTCGTCTTCTGCTACGCTTTTCATTATTGAACTTCATTGGATTCCGTTGGACTGCAGTTGGCGAACGGTTAACAGCAGCTGGTAGCGTTGGCCATCAATTGTCGATAATGATATTCAGTAAGTAACCCTTTATAGGGCAAAATTAGTAAATATATTCGAAAGTGGTTCACAAATTTTGAAAACAATATCACACTGTTCTTAGCCCAGAACACTTTTGTTACAGTTAACTGAGCCGAAACCGATTCGACACTGTTTATATGTTTTTTTCCAATATAATTTATCTTCTGTAATACGCGTTGGCGTCCGGTCGAAATGTAAACGTAATCAGAAAATAATATGTAACAAACAGAATTAAATTAATTTTGTTGTCGATAAAACGCACAGAACAAAACTGATAAGAGATTACAAAACAAAACGTCCAATGACGGCTAATTAGGTGATGTGTACAAAAACCGTTGCGGTAACGGCTACCTCGTAACTCAACCTATATTTGAGAGGAAGAAGACATAAAATACAATAATTTTATGTCAACAATCAAAAACTTGTAATATCGTTAAACATTGTTATTTGTTAACAGACAATTTTGCCAAGAAAATTTGTTATAAACTATTAAATGACCAGACTTATTGACTTTAACTGCATACTAGTCGCCACTCGGTGGTTAATTAATGTACGACTGTTTCACACTTTTTTACAGGATATCATTTGTTAATTTTAATAATGAAATTGTTATTTCAATAATGTAAAAGTTAAAATAGTCACATGTAAGTGAATTCCATAATATGTTTATTGTGTATGCATATTTTGCAGTGTTTGACACCGAAATTTAAACCTACATTCGAGGGGACATATTGAAGTTTAGACACACTTGACAATGGCGTGCCTAAAAAATATTAAATGGAAATTGGTTTTGACCTTTGTTAATTGCTATAGAGCTAAAAGAGCCTTAAATTTAGTTCCTAAACGGGATCCGTGAAAATAAGCTGGGGTTTTTAAGAAATATGTCTTCTTCTAATTAAAAATCGACAAACGTCATTGGACACTGTTCAGTTCCCTTTGTCGCAATTAAAACGAGATCATTAATGGTTTTTTTTTTTTTAAATGAATAATCCGACTTATCCTAGTCGGATTATTCATTCAAAAAAAACTGAAGGAACATTAAAAACAAAAACAAAAAAAATCTTCATTCAGTCATATTTTCGAGGTTATTTCGTTTTTGGTCTTAGTTTTAATAAATAAATTGTAAAAAAAAAAACGTACAATAGTAATTATAACGGAGTTTAAAGAACGGTTTGAATAAACGTGGGAAATTTTGCAAAAAAATGTGGAACGCTTCACGATTTTGCGTGTCATCCTTGCGCAGGGGCCATGCTAATCTTCTCTGTATCGTTCCAATTTTAGTATATGTACTGCCGAAGCAAGTACACTAACACCACACGTGGCACCGGTATATAAACGAAGCAATCTGCGACTTTGATCACATGCGAGAAGCGGCGACAAACGTTCTGTGTGTAAGAGCAATGTAATTCTTTGCTCATAGATGGCGTCGCACGTTCCGCACACGGGACAGAACGCTAAGCTACCGCTAGGCTATTTTTGATGTTCGAGTTTTGTGTAGGCAATTTTTTTTTTAAAACCTTATTTTATTATGCTAAAATTTATAATTTAATTATTTAATAATTATGCATTCAATATCTAGTAAAATATTTTAAATAAACTATTGTTTTCAAATTATTGTTTTTTAATTTCAATAAAAAATGCCTAGCGATCTAACAAACAACAAAGGTAGTTAATAAATAGTTAAATATAAATAGTAATATATAAATAGTATATATAAATATATATACAGTATATATAATATATATAGTATATATAAATAGTAATATAAATAGTTGTAATTAGTACTTAATTGTTATTATATATTAAAACAAGTCTACATTATATTGATCCTTGGGATAGCTGAAAACTATAATTTTTCATCATGCATCATAATTTTAATGTTATTCTTACATTTTTAAAAGAACTACGTATGAGAGAAGCACCATAGTTTTTTTTAAATATTGCATTTTTATATGTATTATTACGATTTATTGATTTGTATATTTTTAATAATATAAAAGAATTTTTAAAAACGACAATTTTTTTTTTTTTTTTGGAGGGGGCAAGGTAGAAAAATTAGTGTTGCCTCTAATTGTAAACTCTAACTATAAACGTATTTAATTAATTTCGCCACAGGCCTCCTATTGTGTACTGGTGTAATATACAAATATAAATATAGAACTATTGTCAATTATTAATTGGATAGAAACTGTCGATCCCCATAGAAAGGCAATGAACAAAGACATATTTATGATAATAATCCATACGGTTTTACCTGGCAAAGAGTAGACGCCGATCACACGATAATATTGCATAATACCAGCTGTTATTTCCGATAAGTATTTATTTTATTTGATTATAATTTTGTTTACACTTTCCTTGAAATCATAAACACTATCTAAACTTCTAACCCTAATAATTTCGTAACTTATTCGAAACTTGAAATAAATAAAACCTAACTTCAATAAAAATAGCATTTAGTTAAGAAATCGGTAATTGGTTAATTTAAATAGTCAGACGTGTAAGTCTGGTCGCTTTGATAATTTGAGATAACAACTGAGGAAACACAGAACACATTTTTACTAAATAAATATAGTGCTAAGTATTAAAATATTATTCGAGGATGAAAATAGATTTTAAGACAATAAGCGAAAACTATTGTCTATTAACTAAACCGTTGTCAAGGGATATGTATGAAAATTGATTATTTTACTCTATTCTAACCGAACCCTCACAAAGATAACTTGGTAAATACGATTACTGTAATAGCTACCCTTGAATATGGCCAGCTCTTCATTTTCCACATTTTGACCCACAATAGGATTTTCAAAACAAAAAAAAATCCTAAGTTGTCCTTGGAAACCGTCCGTTTATTTAGTCGTTGATTTATGTTGGCGGTTATTATCGTCCATAGTAAACACATAACTCGGACATAACCTTGACATCATGAATTTCTATGTTTTTTCCATTGGAAAATCGCCAAGTAGAGACATTCTAGTTGAGTAAAAGTTTCAAAACATTATATTAAAATAATAACACCTATTTAATCGTTTGAATAACAAATAGAGTGGAAAACAACTAATAACGAAATTATTAAAATAATGCAACTAATTACATAATGTTGAATAGCAATTGATAATTGCTATTTTATCATTAATAAATAATAATGTTGACTTGCAGGAAAACTTATGTAGCATTCTTAAATGCTCTTATGTCTAAACGACTTAGAGTTTTATTGGTTAATTGTTGAACTCGTTATTTTTTTTGGGAAGATTTGTATGTAAAGAAATTAATACTACTGCAATCAATTTTGTTGACTACATTAATAAAATATTAATAGTTTCAACGGGGTACTATAATTTTAATGATATATGAATATTATGTTTGTAATAAAATATTATACAGGATTTTTTTTAAATTCCCACTTCTTTAAAAATATTAGAATTTTGAGGCCGATAAATATCAATTTTCTAATATTCGAAGTACATTTCCAAGCTAAAAAAACCTGTTCAACAATAATGAAAAAATCTATAATCATAAAATTGTTAAAAAAGTTTGTGTTTAACAGAATATTAAGCAAATATTAAGTGTGAGAAGTATGTGTATACTAGTATATAAATTGGTTATGTATGGATATATATTTATACATCATTGAATTATGTCAATAACTTCATAACCATTTTAGAAACAATAATTAAAAATATTTATAAAATGTTAGGTTCGGTTAACTTACTTCAGATGCAATGTTTCCTGCGTAGATATGTCTTCGTCTGAGGGAAGAAACCTACGTTCAGCATAATTAATTAATACTTAACTTTGACAAGGTAAAACAAAGATTAATGCTTATTTTCGGTTTTATAAAAGTTTATCAATTTCATCATTAGAATGTAAAAAAAAATCCATTGTTGTTAGATGTTTTGTGCTTAATCCAAAGTAAACAATTATATAATGTGAAATAAAATATTAGCTTCGTGCCAAATATAAGCAGTAACAACACGCATTATTGAGTTCTAAGTTTTTGTTTTTAAACATAATATTTAGATATTATTTTTTTTTTTGTATACGAAAGAATGTTAACTGTCGTATTTAAAAAACATAAAATAAAGAAAAAAATGTCGAAGCACATTATTAAATATACGTAGGAAACATCTTCAATGCACGGTATTCAATAAATAGCACGAAGTGAACTTTAAGCTTTCACAAATAAAACATAAACTTTAGATTTAAAAAATTAGTCTTCCTTCGATCAGTGAACTTTTAGCTATAACACATTCGAAGACTTGGACACAACAACAGGCCGTTTGTAAAATTGTTCAGGAGTCAGGACGATCAAAATATAAAATTCATTATCCCAATTACTACCAATGGCGGGGAAAAAATGCGTTTTGTATTATCTCTGTAAGTACAGGCACGGCGCCAGAATTTTTTTCCTAGGGGGGCGGGAAAGGTCAAGTGAATTTTTTGGAGGGGCAACCACAATAATTTTACCTACTCCTGTCAATAAAAAACAATTATAATGATTTATTAGTGAATTACTTTAATATTTATCAGTGAAATAGTATAAAATATGAATTTATTACAGATTAAGGGACAATATATACTAGTGTACAATTTAAGTAAGGTAACTTTTTTAAATAAGCGTTATTTTTACCTGTCGGCCATCATATAGCTCTTATTGTACTCTATGAAAGTCGAAGTAAAAATGAAGGCTTATAAAACGCCCAACAACCAGTCAGTGGAGATTACAGTTATCGTGTTATACCTACATTCTATTAAACCAAAAAAATCCTTCAATAAACACTGAGCTTTTGGAAAACACACACACAAACGTAAATATTATAATTGTATATATATACCCCAAAACACATAATTATATGGGCGACGGATTATTGAAAACCGATTGCAAAAACACTCAAAATATATTGATAAAAAAAGGCCACATTTGGTGGCAATGTCATAACTAATAACTAAATTTGTATAGATAAACAGGTTTAAATCAAAACAACAATTGTTTTCACAATTTCCGTATTAACTAAATTTGTATATATAAAAATACAGTTATTCAAAATCTGGGTTTTAGGAATAATAATCAAATATTTAAAACTATACTATTTAGCAAAATATCTGGGGGGGGGGCGAGAGAAGGGCAAGAATTTGTTATGAGGGGGCGACCGCCCACCCTCGCCCCCCCTTGGCGCCGTCCCTGTGTAAGTAAAAGTCCAATAATTTTACCGTTTGTTTCACCGAAATGCAGATGATTTTTACACGAACGTTTTTTGATATTTCTAA